TCGTCGTCCTTGGCATTTGCGAGCAAGTAAGGCTTTACCTGTGTGAAGCGCTGTGGGCAACGCATTTAGGCGGATACGGCTATCGCTGGCTTCAAACTGAGATGTGATAGTCTAAAAATGGACAAGGCCGTACAGGTCCTACCTCATGGTAGTTACCTGATCAATGTAGCCAATCCAGGTGCGATACAGGAGGTTCAACTGATACGCCTTTTGCCACCGCATATAGTCGAGGATGCACACGGTGGAAGCGTAATGTTGTAGTCCTCATTCGTATAGCAACCGGCAGCAAGCGAAACGGCTCCTTGACAATATGCGTTGCAGTTTTAGCGGCAGCGTGCCTCCTCTAAGGCTGCTGAACGGTTCCAGGAACAGGCGAACTGTCGCTTAGTGGAAGCGTGCGCACTTCAGCTCTTCTCGTGTGGTTTTCGGTTCACAGACAAGGCAAAGCAGGAAAATGCTTACAATGCTCTTCTGGACGATCTACAGCGTTGCGAGGCTCTGGGCATCAAGCTTTACAACATCCATCCAGGTCTGCTGCTTTCCCAGAACGTGTTCTTGCTACATATGTATCGGGGATAAATGGTAGCATTCATTATATCAAAACCTGGCGAAGAGGATTCCTTTTCTTTGTGGCCTGCTCGCTTTTGTTGCCTGTCCAGCCCTTCGCTTATTTAGTGTTCTTGAGCCAAGACAATATTGACCTGCACTATATAAGCGGCTTTGCTGTGGCCCAATGTGCCAATGTGATCACAGGTTCCACTGTCGGTGAATGCAGCAAGGAAGAAGGAATACGCAACATTGCCGTAAGTACCTGGGCCGTGTTGTTCTCCAAAATCGCGTTTTATTCATAAGTAAGAGGACTGCTTTTTTTACAACAGAGACGAGCAGCTTTTCTATCTTCTTAGTTGTGGCTTTATCCACCGATCCTTCAGGCTGCGGTTAACAGGGCCCACAAGGACACAAAATTTGTTGTTGTTGTGCTGGAGAACATGGCGGGGCAGAAGAACGTTGTCGGTAGCAAATTTGAAGACCTGAGGGACATCATCGAACTGGTGGAAAACAAAGATCGTGTATGTTACAGTGTGAACTTAACCCGTTTGGTTGTGATTCGATCCACGTTAGTTTATCACAATAGTGGTACACAAATGCGGCACTTGGATGATATTTTTTTTCACTTAGGTGGGAGTCTGCCTTGACACTTGCCATCTTTTCGCAGCAGGTGCGGCGACTCACATAAAGATAAATTGGTTACACTCGTTTCAGGGTCCTTCCTCATGCGCACCTGTGTAGTACTACCTTGTATTTCAGCCCAGCCCAAACACAAGCAGTCTTTAATGAGTGGCCAGAGTTGGAGAGCTTGTCTGCTAAACAGAAAATGTGGTTGGGACGGTGCAGGATATGACATCCGCACGCCGGAGAAATTCGAAAATGTGATGAAGCAGTTTGACTCCATTGTTGGCTACAAGTTCCTCAGAGGGATGCACTTGAATGATTCGAAGTCTGAACTCAGCTCAGGACTGGATAGGTAGCGCATGCACGCGCCACTACAACTTACCATCAGTACATATATTCACGGTCAGATTAATTTCCTAACTTGTTCGCACATGTTCCTGGCTAGCGCTGTATTTGCTTGCCGGCCTAAGCAGGACTGCTTTGCTTCATTTGGACGTATTGTGGAAGTATTCTGGACGAAGGGCGTAATGCGAGCGCCCTTGTTGCTTGCAAGAGAAGCCATATAAAGGCGTTCGGATGTTGTCAGCCACCGTAGCCCTCGAATTGGGAATGTAGTTGCCGCCAAGTAATGTGCTTTGCACGTATTTCTTGTCCCATCGCAGGCATGAGCTGCTTGGCAAAGGCCACCTCGGGCTGGCACCGTTTAAGTATATAATGCAACACCAGACACGATTCAAGGACATGCCCCTGATACTAGAAACTCCAGACCCCACGGAGGGCACAATATGGAAGAAGGAGATCAAGCAGATGTACAGCTTTTTGAATGAGAAGGAGGAAAAATGAGCGGCAAATCGTCGCCGGCGAGGAGCTCGTGCCTTTCTGTGTACACGCTACGCTTGGAAGTCCCGTGTGTGACTTCCGCGTAATGTGCACATGCTCGTGCGAACACCGTCCTCACGGTCAAAGCATCAACGTGCATGCTGAAGTGCCGCGTATAAACTCTAAACAAAGTCTGCTGAATACTTGACTGCCTGCTGGGAAGTTCTGACAGATTTATACATCCCACCAACGCGACATACCTATACAGCTAGTTCTGAGTTGCTGCTGAGCTTGAGTGAAATGGCTAAACCATGCCCTGCTCGTCAAGCGTAGAACTAAAACTCCATGGCCTACGAGCAATGTATTCATTACTTTGAACACGGGCGCCAGAAATGCAAAAGACTGTCAGCCCACTTTGAATGCATCCGGTTGTGTTGTATGGTTGACGCCGCGCGGCGGCGCCAACTGTGATGCAGCTCACCGGGCCGCAGCACCTGACTCTGTCTATAGAGTGGCCTAGCTGCCAGCCCTAGAAGGCAGCACAGCTGCAGCGACCGCCCCTGCAACGGACGCAGCTTAAGCTGGTGAGGGAGCCACGCACTGACGGGCAATAACGTCCAACTCCTTCTGCCCCACTTTTGTCAAGCGCCTGCCGCTGCAGCACGAAAGCACAGGGACACGACACCCCAGCATAAAGGCGCAGCATAAAGTAGCACCGCCTGAGTGGGGCCGCTGCTCATGCATGGCACACAGATCCAACGCGGCAGTCCTGATACATGTAAAAGGCTCACTTATCGGGGCGTGACTCGACAAGGCCCATGGTCTCAAACTGCTGGAGGATGTAACGGATGATCTTCCCGCTGGCCTGCACAGCAGATAAGCAGGAAAGCATCGAACCAAATCATAAAAATGCTTAAAAAGCCATCCTGGTTAGCAGCAGCGGCAACACAGGTTCCCCTTTCCTGCACTGGTTCCGTTGGGCGTGATGACCCGCACATTAACAGTTGAGTAGCTCAGCTGAAGCGATGTGTCAAGTATTCTAAAGCAGAAGATGGCCCAGCAGAGACCCAGAAGTCAGGAGCAAACTCACCTTGCTGGTGTGGCCAGGGCTGCACTTTTTGCCACTCTTGCAAGAAAACACTTTTCTGAAAGCCCCCACGCCGCAGCTTGGGCGGAGGTACAGATGACGCAGGATAGCGGCAGCGCGCTTGAATATCCAATCAGGGTCGTGGGGAGCCAAGCTTTTTCCCTGGGCCCAAAACATAACATGCACATTTCCGTCAGCCCGGCGCTCCAAACACCATTATTGAAACATCCTCGACATTAAAAAAGTGCAATTTGCGGTTAGCAACAGTACGTGCCAAGAAGCTTACATATCCTGTCTTCACCAAGTCCGCCCACATGGGGACCTGAAATTTGCCCCTCTTCTTCAGGTGGTTTGCATAGGCCTCAATAAACGTCTGGGCTGTCACATCCTTCACAGTGTACACAGGGGTGGGCCCGAGCCCAAATCCTTCGAGAAATGCATCCATCTGAAACAGAGAGGTCAAAAACAGAAGAATAAAACGTGCTGGCTTGCAGTTGACCTCCTGTGCATCATTCTGGAGGGCCGAAGCCCCATACGCCGTTTTGAAAATAATGGCACCTCCCACAGAAGTAATATGCTCTCGAATGAAGACAGCACGTACGGTAGAGACTGGGACTGGACAAACATAGCAGGGTGAATCATGCGCTAGTCACCCACTGGCCGCGGTGCCTGCTACACTATCACGACTGGATGGAGCGCAGAACCCTCCGGTGCAGTTTCCCCCTTAAGACCGCTTTTGCCAGATAGAAAGCAAGAAGACGAACAAAATTAGGCGAAAAGAGCCATACAACATAGTCCGAGGAGGAAGAACATGGCCAAAAGCTCCGCGGTAGAGAAACGAGACGACGGACCAAACCGGAAACACCCTCGAGACTCTCCCCCCCCGAAAGATGCACAAACAGATGCACTGAACATCACTGGCAATTTCCCTGAGCTAAAAATAAAAAAAAAGCCCTGATCAAGGCCCCACGACCCACGATGGGTGTTCAGCTTTGGAGTACTTGGTGCTGTTCTGCCATGAGGGAAAAGGTTTTGCTCACTTTGCGATGATCCTTCGGGGCTCCAACGAAATTTAAATTCGCAAAATGAAAAGGAGATGCTAGTTCGAAGGGCTGGCTTCTGGTACCTCCGACGAAGTTGTGCTGGACTGCTACCATATTTGCCGCCACCCCCCACAGGAGGCCACCTGCAGCCCCACTGCAACAGCGTTCGACTTTGCGTAAAAAGACGCATTGAAGAGACCTATTTGTTGTAGGACGCTGCCCGATTATTTTTACTACGAAAAATTGCGGGAATTTACCAATTAATGAATTACTCAGGAAGCCATCTTTTTTGTCCCCCTCGAACTCTTTGAGGTTCTTTCTTTATGGACCTCTCTCTTACTTCGACAGCCCCAGGGAGGCATCGTTGTCGCTTGAAACAGCTGGTCACGCTTGCTACGCTCCTAGACTTTCCCTCAATTACCAGGTATAAAGCTTTACTTACGCGTATTTGACACACTCTTTACTTTCTACATCCTCTGAAAGGCTCCAGTCCTCGCTCAGACAGAGGAGCAGGAGTGAAGCAGCCACCGCTCGCTGCTGTGAAGGCTTCCTGACACACGACGAGCACTGCGCCTGCGTACCTTCCGAAGCGTCTCTGAATCATATTTTCTGACGGAAGTGTAATAATAGAAGGACATAGAATGGCGCTCAAATGCAGCAAATATGAATCGCGTCGGGCGGGCTTGAGTGGCTGAACTGCACACGGGGAGGCTGCAAACTAGGCAGTGTGCTTCTTGGGAAGAACCTGCCTTCTCCATCACATGACACAATTTTTTGCATTGGCTTTTTATGTTTCGTGTTTCCGGGCTGGCAAAGGCCATGCTCCATCGAGTCCACAGCAATCGACCGCTGGAGCACTTTTAAACTGAATTCATAGAATGCCGCGTTTGCCATCCGACGACGCCAGGAGCATTCACTCGAGTTTCGCCAGTGGAATGCGCAACTTTCTGTCTCGAGGTTCATCGAACAGAGCCGTCCAGCGCGCGCGTCGAGGTGCTGACTCAAGCGCCCATAATCAACAAACGCCGAACACTGTGAACTCTCCTGCATCTGCACCCGAAGATGAGGGAATACACAACTCCCATGAGGATGCTGACCAGAGCAGCGGTGCCACTGGGGTTGTGACCGCTTTGTTCCAGCGCCACCAGAGCCAAGATTCTATCTTCATTCCTTCCAAGTACCGTTTCCCTGCTCCCACAGCTGTTTCAGTCCCAGCTGTGTGGTCCTGGCAAATGGGGCAAGCTGACTGGGTGCCTTTTGACGTTCAAGTTATGGAGTTACTTGAGTCGCTTTGGGCTCACATGCAAAGCCAACAGCAGCAGCAACAGCAGGACGAGCAGCCTGACGCATTAGTGGAACCACATGAGGAAGCACAAGAACTTTTGCAGGCGCAGGAACAGGAAGACCAACAGCCGGAGGGACAGTTACAGCATGGAACGGTGCGTGAGCTTGGAGAGAGCGACGATTCGACCTCACCGACAGCGGCAACCTCTCAAGCACGTCTAGAGCAGAGCCACAAAGTGTACGCACACATCTCGCCGTGGCAGTACTGCCTAGACTTGGGCAAAATGACTCAGCAAAACTTGGCAACCCGCAGAGTGAGACCTATTCGAAGGAATATTGAGTCTGTGGGTTTGTGGTTTGCCAAGGGCTCTGACGGCCACGCAGAGAGGTGCGCCATGTGTTCGTTACCCAGCGAAAGCGATGGAAGGGAGTACTATGAACACTAAAATAGACATACTCTTTAGTGTATCAATTTTTTACCTGTAATTCGCAAGTAAACCTAACAGCGAGAGGACAACAGGCGCTGTTCGGCTTGCGGAGTGTGACGGCAGACACGTTGAAGTACGCATCTCATGTGCCAGGCGTTTCGAAGTGCGTAGGCTAGCAGAGGTCCTTCTAAAATGTACAGCTCACTACTGAAGATTTGCAGTTGTTTTTCAGGCGTTGTTGAACACCTTCAGGTTTCCTCCGGAGGTGGAAGTACACCTAGAAGCACTATGGAAGGAGTCATTGCAGGGCGTGAGAAACCCTAGCGCGTCCGTGCTGACCTGGGAGAATCAGCGTACAGGGCATCTCCATTATACCGACGTCATCGCAATGAGGGAGAGCCTCAATACCGGCAGTCAGAGAGAGGCAAGATTTTGCTGCTGCGTCTCTTCCCAGCTTGGCTCTGAGCTCGTGATGTAATCCTTCGTTGTGGTTGGAGAATGTCAAATAGGGTTCACCATGGAATCCGCCGTCAATCTTCTAATTGTTTGATACAAGTCAACAGCATGCAACCACGAGAGGCTGGTTATTCATGCCCCACTCCAAGCACTTGTTAGGATTTGAGTGCCCACCAGGTGGAGTGCTCGAGTGACGCATGAGCAAATGAAGGTTGCCATTTGTGTTGCTTCGTAGTTCATGAATGTGTGTGTACACAGATCATGCGCACGGAGCTCGTTGCAGAAGCACTATTGAACGACTCGGCAGAAGCGGTAAAACCTGGGGACTCGAAGGAACATTCCTTTCCGCTGCCTTCCCTTGAAGTGGGCACTGAAGAATCGGGAGAAGCCATCTGCAAGGGCCATAGGAAGTGGCTAGAGTCCGATGACTTTGATGCTGCCCTAGTTGTAGTAGAAGGGCACGGTCAGTCCATGAATTCTCCAGAATAATGCTGCGCACGTTGATAGCTTCTAATTCTAACGTCGGATGCCCACACAGGTAGCCCATGCATATTCAGCACCGCCTCGGAATTCCACTTCGCATTCAACATGCTGAAACGACTTCGTCGTGCTTTCTCTCGTGCGGCAAGGTAAGATGAATCAAACGTTCCAGTTGTTTTCGGTTCTTCAACCTGCCTGTTTTGTGCAGACGTTCCTGACGACACGTGCGTCATCTGCCTTGACAGTTTGGTCCAAGAACCTTCGACGAATGCGCAGCAATCTAAGACAAAAAAGCAGCGACGCCGATCAAACATGGGCAAAGACGAAAAATGCTGCAGTAGAGGAGGTAGCAGCAGCAGGGATACCAAGGATATCAGCGGCACAAGCAGTAGAAACAGAAGACGAAGCAACAGCAAAATTGCCTGCACTACTATCGCGGCTTCGCCGAACGAGAGCGATGCCGGCCCGTCTAGTAACGCCGACTGCGATATGAACAGCCCAAAGGATACAGACTCAAAATTTCCTGATAGTAATAAAGAAGAGGTTGTACGTCTGATAAATTGCTCCCACCACTTTCACACCGAATGCATCCGCATGTACGTACAGAGCTGCACGAAAGGAGGTTTCTACTGTCCGACATGCAACGTTCTACAGCTGCCTGGCAATGGCCCTTGCCCACCAGGTGAGCATTGCAGCTCTGTAGTTGATTGTAGTATGACAGCTGCTATTGCAGAACACTAGCTACTACTGTTTCTGCAGTTGCTTCCTGCAGTACTATAGCTGCTACTGCTGCTGCAGTTATTTTTGCTGATGCTTCGCGTTTATGCAATTGTACTACTGTTCTTTGTATGTGGCACTCCGTGTCGCGGCACGCTGCTCTTTGCTGGTACGTATTCCAGGGAAGATGAAATGGAGGATATGCAATCGACCTTTACTTGCAGGACACCCAGACGAAGGTGAGGCGGCTGCGGTTGCAACTAAAAACATATATGTGAGGGCAACGTAATTGCCAGTGCTGCCGCAGCTGTGCTACTGCAGTTGCAATCGGTTACGTTGGTCTCGCGTTTAACGCGAGACCAACAGCGTTTAACGCTGGCGCAGCTGGTGCAGCTGATGCAGCTGATAAGGAACGTGGTGCTTGACGGCTCAGGGACAATTATTATTGACTACATTGTCAGCGGGGGTATACAGACGGAAAGGCATGCTCGACCCAGCATCCCCTTTACTGGAGCGAGGAGACAGGCATATTTGCCGGATTGCTTGATGGGACGGAGACTACTGAGGCTCCTTATTCAGGCTTTTGTCAAGGTTTGGAAATAATGGCTCTGCCTTAATTCTTTCTCCGTTTACTGATATTGCATGTAACGGAGTGAGCGTAGAATGCTGTGACCTTCCAAAATACAGAGCCCTGCCGTTATTTGTTACATCCGATAAAGTGCTGCTGCTGCTATAGGGTCACATTTTCACTGTTGGCGACAGTGTGACGTCGGGGCAGTCAAACGTGGTTGTTTGGAACGGCATCCACCACAAAACGAGCGTCTCTGGCGGTGAGAAGTGTCATAGTGCCTCTTGTGCTTAGTTCCTGCGCTTGCTGAGCTGGCTTGTAGGGGAGTTGATGCGTGCATCACGCATCAACCGGCACTTCATTTCCCGGGCTGCGTAGGCTTGCACCTGAATACATACATCGCCCTCGGGGATAGAGCTCTGTAGAAAAACTAAGGGACTGTCGTAATAACAACAACGTATCGGGTCATTGCATTGTTCCTTGACATCAGCAGACAAATTGGGTATCCGTTACAGTGTACACTGGTCCCAGACCCGGCTGTTTGTTAAAAGCTTGCGAGCCACCTGGGGTTGCTGAGTGCTGTGAGGCCACAATTGTTACGGAACCATTCAGGTGTGTTGCACTACGGCTACCCTGATGACACATTCCTTTCTCGGCTGGCGGAGGAGCTTAAAGCGCGTGGATTTCCGTTGGAGGCGGATTCACCATCAGCGGTTAGCGTTTGAGTATTTTGTTGATTCCATCATGTGTGTGGCGTAGTGTGGTCGCCCAGTTTCTCTCGTTTGATTAAGCGTGGCATGTTGGTCTCCACTGTGGGTCTTCGCTACAGGACTGCACAAGGACATAGGGGACCCACCTAGAAAATATAACGCTTCGCCGCTCGCGATGACCCAGCCCGTTCAAGAATTTATCTTCATTCTATTCCCTTCATGTTTTTTGAGCTCTCTTGCGATGGAAGAAGCAATCTTCACAATAACGTGACACTATGCGACGTTTTGAACTTCAGCGTGGCACCCCCCAACGTTTCACCGTCCACGGTGACATGGTTGTGCGGAAGAATCGATTTGGGCTAGGTGTGAGCTTGCAAAGGGATAGCCAGTGTCAGATGTCTCTGCCAAGGGATTGTTTCGTGCTACTGTGTGGGCAAGCATCCCGACGCAGTCTTCTGTGGAGAATCAGGTCGGGGGGACAAGGACCCCTCAGAGACTCATGGGGTCATCTGCTCGTAAAGCCCTTCCCCCCGGGCATGAATGCTCGGCATGCATGCATGCACTGCAGCGTATAATCGTTTTTTACGTTGGCGGCGGCGTGAGCTCTCCTTGTACCCTAGGAGGCAGACACCCGCCGCGCCCCAGACCTAATGCACGCTATGCCTGACTGCATCTATTGCAGTTTTACTGTTCACCGTGTAATCACGCGACGAAATGTCGGAGGTCCGCACGACAACAGTCGGCGCCAAAAAGTAGTGTTTCACTGTAGTCGTGGCCCAAGTGAGGGAGTCGAATGCACACCATTTACGTGCGGGCGAGACCACGTTCAGCCACTATAGCCGAACCAACCATAGCGATTGCAACTGCTCATGTGCGACTGTGGGGAGGTCGATTCACTGTCTTAATTGGGCACGTACGGCCACGGCTGGTAACGCTCATTCAGTGCGGGGAGCCTCCATCCAACGTCGTACCGGCCTTCTGCATGCACTTCTGTGTGCTGAACGGCGTTGCAGAAATACAGACGACTCAACGGCGCGTGACATTTTGACCACTGGAGAAGCAACCAGTTCCCAACATAGGACGCCCATGATTCGTGCGTAGCGCCTGCGCCCCTTGAACCGCCCACATCGTGGAACCGTTACGCCTAAACGCCATTTGGAGTTTCCTCCCGCCGTACGAATTGGCAGGATACCGCCCTGGCCTCTCGTGGATATCGCCGTCCAGACAATACATGGATAGGGTCACAGAGTCTCTAGGAGTACTTCTCTCCAGTCACTGCCGACCTACGGCCACACGTTTCAACACGCTAGTATAAACCACTGTCGCGGGACTCCGACGGCCAAGCGAGACGAACCGGAACACAAGACGAAAACCGTCGAGTGCACTGGTGGCGAATGAGCCGCAAGCTCGTCCTTTAATGACCCGCTGTTATTCTCCGCACACTATAGAACCCTAGGTCGATGAATGGGGGCCCAAGGCATTGCGAAGTGCGGCGCACAGAAACAAACGCAATACACCCATTTCAAAACAGCTAATACGACACGCGCCTTGGGTGGCAGCTGCATCTTCTTGCCTGTTCACCAAACACGCGACAAGTGATAAGAAAAACAGAGAGCATGCCAAGACCTGAATGCAGTAAGGAAAAGCACGATAAAAGAGGTGAATGCCTCTTTCAGCATGCGACTGCTGTGAACATGAAAGTTGCTTACGCACGCAGCAGTAGGCATACACACAAGCAGCCAACCTCCCTTGGAGGCCAAAAAATGCCACGCGGCCTATATGGCCTCCGACAACGTTAAGATAATACGTCAACGCACCTGTCTCTGACCATGGTGCTGAATAAGGGAAAAACTGGTAGTCTTACTACTCCGCTGCCCCCCACAAGGAGACCGCTGTGGGGCGTTTGCGAACAGGAGAAACACTTGTGGGGCTGCAGCTGCTGCCTTCCTCAAAAAAACCTTTCACCCAAAGTGTTTTCCCTCTTCTCATTTACAAATAAGCAGTTCTCTTTCTTTCGGACCTACATTGTTCGCTGTGCTGGTATACAGGCGGAGTAGCTTAGGTGCGATGAGTGCACCGAGGCCAATGCTTACTGGCTCTAGATCGTGAATACAGTTCAAGGACTAGCGTACATCCGTCCAAATTCACTTTTCTAGGACACAAATCCACCGATCTGCTTAAACACGAACTGCGTGCTAACAGGCTTGCCAGGTGTCTTTCCCAGGAGGGGGACGCTCTAGTATGGATGCTACATAACTTTTCAACGAGACACCGGTGGATGAACAAAGTTGTCGTGACGTGCGTATGGCGCTATGAAAAAGAATTTGGCGCCGCGAAGTGCTCACTACATAGTTAAGACACCGTCGGTCTGGCTGAGAGCAGTGACGCCCGGGAACTTGTTGAGTGTACTTTCAAAATTAAAATGAGCCTTCGCCGTTCGACCAGGTGCGAGGTGGGTTCCCCCCTTCCGTGGAGGAGCTGGTTAGCCGCATGGCACATTTGGGCGTCGTGTTCTAGACCATCATGCGCAATACAATTCCACCATCATTTATTAGGCGAACTGCGTGTAAAACCTGCTGGAGGGCTCATGGAAAGGCGCCATCAACTATAGATAAGTTCTGCCGCCAAAATAGTCTCAGTACGGATGCACTGTAACGTAATCCGTATGTGGAGAGGCTTCGCAAGGACCTTAAACGGCGTTGAATGCATTCCTAAGTAGGGGGAAAGGCGAAAGGTGCCAAAGGATTGACGTAGGCAGCAGTTGAAACCCCTGCTGTGGCTTGGGCCTGTCACCGCTTCGAAGTGACAAGCGTTGGTTCGCTGATACACAGCGGAAGCAGGTGCGCCAAGAGCTCACCAATTGCTAATGCGCGACATATGCGGGCTGCGGAAGGAGCAGACCTTTGTGTCCACTTGGTTTGTGTTCGTTAAACACGGGGAACGTGGAGAGAGTTACAAAAAGGCTCCCGAAACACATTCGCTTTAGAAGTCTATATCCGACAATGACTCATGGGCGATGCTCGTGGCTTTCTGGTTTCAGAAGTCTTCACTAGCCACTGGCAGAGCTTCCCAGAGAGCATTTTTTGCATCACGTTCCTTCGCGGCAAGACTGCAACTCTAAGGCCCACCTTTCGGTTGAGGCATAGTTCAAACTGCACATCCAGCAGTACGCCAAACAGGCTGCATATATGCTCAGGTGCGGCATCTTGGCTCAAAATCCCTGTGTTCCTGAACGCTGACAACAGGCGGGCTGGAAAAGATCAAGTCAGTATACTCACGATTCGAAGGGGCGAAATCACTCGTAGACGGGGCTGCCCCGCTCATATCGTCGTTCCAGAGAGGGAGAGCGCTGTCGGTGAGAAGAAGGACACCCTGATATAGCTGAGGTGCTCCGCGTCTGCTGTTCCTTCTCTCTGCGTCGGCACAGGCACACTAGGGAATAGGCTGACGATGGGAGGCTGGCGAATGTTCAGACAGGGACGCATGCGAGAACCACCCAGGTGCAACGAGGCACGAGTGTGAGCGGTAAAGGGAAAGGGGCAACAGGCGCTTACCGAAAAGTACGCTGGAAACCTTCAGCTGCTTGCAGCTCTTCTGGAGTTGGCGGGATGTACACTCCCTGAATAGTAACACGATGAAGCACAACAGAAAAGTTAGCATTTTGCAGCTTACCTGTCCGTTGCTCACGCCTAAGACAAACGCTAGCAAGTGCATCGCATACTTCGTGCATATACACAGAATTGCACAACTACAAATAGCACCTGAATTGTGCTTCTTCGCGAACTACGCTGCCTTTGAAGTCCTTCCAAATAAAACTAGCGGTGTCTAGCTACAACAGCCCGACAAGTCACGTTGTGAGCGTCTCTGCTTCTCACGTACCCCGGCCCTTGATTTCCACTGCCCTAACCGCGTGTCCCACATTGGCGCCTGGGGCCTTCGTCTTTGGGGCGACAAGCTCCTAATCGCGAACCTTTGGATACAGGCAAAAGAAACACTCCCCAAGCAACTCACTACTGTATTTAATGGTCCAAGAGTCTCGTTTGAAATTCTGCAAAAGCCATGAAACCTCCATTGTGTCACTGCTTCGTTACAAGCCACCGAATGTTACGAATGTGACAAAACGCCCAGAGCAAAACCTGCTTGTTCTGGGGAATTAAAACTACTGCAGGTCCCTCATTCTGTTTTGCCACACCCATAGAAAGAGCTGATTGACATATCAACAGCAAGTCACAGCATTGGCAGCGCAGCGTCTCAGCTTCAGCTAAACGTGATGGCCTGCCCTTCTCTACAGAAGGGTTTGCCTAACGAAGTGACCAGTAGGGGTCCCCTACCTATCATGAGTCCAGCTACGGGGGCTCCTGCTGCGCCGCCGATGCCTTCGTGTGCTGTTAGGACGCCAGCAAAAGAAACATGCACAAGAACGCAAGTAGTACCTAAAGGGCCTCGTGAGACCAGTTTACAAGGGCACGGTCCTCCCGCGCTGCCTCTGCCCAACCTTAGTCTTAACTCTCAAACCCTGGCCTGCATAAGGATATTATGAAGTCACACTTGAGAGTGTACGCGCTTGGGTCGTGAGCAGCAAAGAGAGGGTTGGCGCGCTCTGGTGGTGGGGATTGCCTGGATGGTCTGAGACAAGGAGAAACAAGTGTTGCAGAGTTGGGGGCATGACGAGCACTGCACGAAGTACAGAGTCAATGAACGGCAGAAATTGAAGCAATGCAACACGGAAAGGGCTGCAGGTGAAGGCGCGACTTATATGCACGCAATCTACCCAGACTGGCGGACGTGGGGTGGGCCCACAAATACACAGGCACGAAGAGGCAATTCAAAGCTCCTGTAAAGCGCTGCTCAGGAGACGCAAACGGGGACAGAGAAAGGCCATAAAATCCACTTCACATAAACAGACCCAGAGGAAAGCTATTTCGGAAGCAACAGTATTCACAGTTCATCTGTGAGAACAAAAGAGAGAATGCTTCCACGATTAGTTTAAAGGGTCAGGAGACCGGATCGGGGATGAAAACCAACAAATAATCCCGTATGTGCGTTCCAGCCAAATAACGCATGCTGAGCAGCAGCAGCAGCAGCAACAACAGCAGAAGCCAGAGCAGCGGCAGCGGCTTGAGACCGCGCACTGTGGGGAAGGCGGCAGCTGGTGCGCCTTGCCTCCCAGATGCTGCCTCAGACCTCGAGTGCCGCTAGCAGCGCTCACGGTTCACCCGACAAACACCGATGGAGCAGCAACGGCAGTAACAGCAGCACAGATGCAAGGCCAAAAAGGTAGTGCAAAAGTCTGAGAGATAAAAATATTGATGAGCAAGAAGATATTAATTGATTTTCTAGCATAGAATATCCGCCATTGTGGCTAGCCCTGGATGGAATCTACCCAGCTAGAGAAATGTTATGGCGCTTACGGCGCCCGATATAAAGTGTACAGGAGGTCCACGGTAATCCCTTCTTCCAATTTTTATTTTTAATTACGACAAAATGACAAGGGCAAAAGTGGGGGAGGCACTGAGCAAAGACTGGGGAGTGACGTACGACTCGTTGGAACCTGCGCGCACAAGAAGTGACATTAAGAAACAACTGAGCCTCTAACAACGGCAAGAACGAACAAAATAGAGCCATCAGCAACAGCGGCGTTCCAGAAAAGAAGAAAAGCCTCACAAGATGGCGAACTCCTTCTGTTATCCCTACGGCTGCGGTGCGACCGCCATGAGCCGCTTCGTCTGCCGCTGCTGAGTCTCCTGGTGCTTCTTCTGATACTGATGCTTCTGCTGCCGCTACTGCTGCGTGCTGTCCTGTTGTCTTTACTGTTGCTCCGACTCCTGTTCCGGCTTATGCTGCCGCGACCTTTGCGCTGGTAGCCGTGGATGGATGGACTCCGCGGGCGCCGCCTACACTTTGTTCTGCTGTTGCTGCTGTACCAGCTGGAGCTACGGCTTCTGTCGCTGTTACATTCCCAGCCATACATGCGTCTCTTCGGGGCGCGTCTGCGCGACTGTTTCGTCTTAATGCTTCTTTCATCCCGGCTGTTGGTGCTGGCACAGCTCCTGCTGCGTCTTTCTGTTCTGTGGCGGACGTGGGTGGCTCCAGCAGCTACAGATCTGGAGGATGCACCTCTCTGAGAACGAGAAGGTATGATAACGATTTCATCTGAGGCACTACTGAGGGAAGTACCTCGGGAGTCCTCGCTTGCACGATGCTCTCCTGTGGCACTGCTGCTGTTTTTGTTGAAGCTGCAGCTGCACTCATCCGGCCGGTTACAGCTGCACTCTTTACTGCTCAGCTGGATGCCGCAACTGCTATTTTGTGCTTCTATGGGCCTTCGTTGCCTCCTGCATGCGCCTGTGTTCGTCGGACTCGTTGTACTGCTCTCGGCTGGAGGCAGGCCCGGCGAGCCGCGGCTAGTGGGGGAAGCGTAAGTCGCCATAAATGCATCGCCCAAAGCTCTAGTCTGTAATGCCGCATATATGTGTCTGTACAGAAAGGTAGAGACTACGGGAAGCCACAACTGCTGCTTGCTGTCCAGCGAGGAACCCAGTAGTCCGAATATCTATGAATGCAAACAGTGCGCTGAAGGCAGCTTCTGCTTGTAATAACTGTCCCCTCACCCCCAAACAACAATGGGAAATTCTTGAATCACACTATATTTGCCCCGAGGGCCCGAAAGGGACAGGTGAAGGCCTCGGGGCGGCGGTTGCGCTAGCATGCCCTCCACACATTCCAGACACGAGCTCGATGCCCCTTCTTTCTATGAAATATCCAGAATCATGTTGTGGAGACATCAGGATTCCATTCACACTGTCCGTGGAGCAATCAACGTTGTCCAGAAGACCCGCCAGTGGAGAGGGGCCCGGTTGCTCATCGGAGACTCCACCCCGGAGAATCATTTGTCTGGGGACGGCTTAACTCGGAAACAAAAGCAACATCGTTCTTTTGTCTCATAAGTACAGAAGCACACGGCCGTTCTTCGCTCTGGAAGTGTCGAGGGGAACCCTGCGAGGCAGTTCACTAGCGAGAGGCGCATCATGCAAATCGCCAAGAAGGACTTAGAGGGCGGGGAAATATAATCTTTGGCTGTGTTACACTTTTGTCCAATGTTTTGCCTCTCTGGAGCTTGACATTCGCGAATCCTCTTCCCTTCAATAACAACACGTGAAACTCGTGAGGGTCCCCAGCCCTGCCGTCTACGCATTGAAGGCTACGGATAATGGCGGCACCGGAGCCTGCAGGTCGCTCACCGCAAGAGCAAGCAGTGTTGACCTAAAGCTTTACAGCTTGTAACGAAACAGCGTAACCGTCGCAAAAGGAACTGCAGCAGCTGCTCGACCAGCAAGAACTGCGGCAGCAACACAAACTGCAGTTGCACCAGGCGATGTCGCCTGCAGAGGCAAGTAGCATTAAAACTTTTGCCTTCTTCAGTGTTTCAGAGCACAGCGTGAGGCTGCTGCTGTGCCTGTACTTCCTTGCAGCAGCTGCAGCGGCCGCAGCAGCCTCACAATGGTCCATCTTCTCATCGTTTGCCACCCACGGCAAACTGTGTCAGAAAAAGCAACTATGCAAAGGCAGCACTCAGCGTGTCTGGTTTTTAAAGTGGCTTCAATCAAAGGACTGCAGTAAATGCCGCTTTCTCGACTTTTATGCCGTTGGCATTTTTGTCACTTGCTGCTGCCTGTTGGGCCTTCTGAAGCAGCAAGAAGTACGCCTGTTGCTGCCGCTTTTACTGTTGATGCTGCACTTGTTGCGTCGATTTGGGGAGCAGCTACTGCTGGTAGCATCTGACGAAACCTCTCGTATGCATCTCTTCGCTTACGTCTTTGGCTGCACGTAAGGTTTGGTGGTGCTGCTGCTTAAAGCACTATACTTGATGTTGTCTGTGTGGGACATTTCGTTTGTTGGTGCTATTAGAATGCGCTGGTTGCAGCATTGGAGTCGTAGTTGGGCTCCCCCTGAGTATCGGAGACTCGTAGCACAGCAGGTGTCGTTTTTGACATTGCACCCGTGCAGGTATTATGTTGCGACTCCTCTAGCTTTTATGTCAGCGGCGCAACGCCGCCATCAACTTCGGCTTTTGCAAGACGGGGCATCTGTGGGGCTTTGGGTTACCTCTAGTCTGCTGCAGGCGAGTCTGCAGCTGGCCCTCTTCGTAGCTGCCGTGCAACCAGAGGCACTGTGGGATCTAATAAGGTTCTTTCGAGCTATCAAGGGCTGACGCAGAATGTTTGAAGCCTCTCCCGTTGTTGCTTTTGATGTAGCTTGGGTTCCAGCTGCTGAAGCCTGCCGTACTATGCTTCAGATGGCATCACACATCTCTCTTGCTAGTCTACGGCGACAAGGGGCTCGGGAGGTCAGCTTACGGAAGTGCGGAGGCAACCCAGACCCGGGAACTGATGCTGCGGAAGGTATCTCGGTGGGCGTGAAAAGACGCAAGAGCCAAACAAAAAGCAGCAGGAACCCTCGCAGGAACACTTTGAGAGGCAGTAGCAGCACCTCCAGCTCCGACTGGAGAGGTCCCTACACGATCCCACGAGGACCCCTCTTTGCGTATATCAGCTGCCCCCACTATCTTTCGGAGGTTTTAATCTACTTCTCTCTCCTCCTTTCTGCTCCAGATGGCCCCACGTGAGTTGCTTGAGCTTTGCGACTGCAAGCCTACCGCCCACAGCAGTGCAGCTTCAACAATGTGTCTATAAGAAAAACTAAATGCACCTTTCGTGCACTTGTGTACCTATTTTCGCTGTTCCTGCCTGAATGGCCTGTAAGCTCCATGACAGTTATGGTCTTTCTATTTATCTACTTGCAGCTGCTCAAATTTAAGTGCAGGCATGCGGGCTGCTCGCTGTTAAATATAGAAAGAACACTCATCTCGTTGTGTTCGCTTGCCGCAGAAAATGTTGTTTTCTATACGTGTTGATCTGCATGATTGTCAACGGTATGGAACACGAGCACAGACTGAGGCGCTGCTGGACACGAAATAGTCGAAGGCAGAGAAACGTAGAAGCACAACAAAGTCGAGCAGCAAACAGATCGCTAGCTGCACATGCCTTTCGTCAAATCATGCACCCACGCCTAAACCCACATGCATACGCATATGAACGCATCCGCGCCTAGGCGTTACGGTTGGATACACGCATAAGTGTATGCAATCAAGCCCTGAAATAGAGTAGTACCACATATACGGGGCGAAAGGTGACGCAAGTATTAGAGCATCAATAGAAAGCTCAACTTTCAAAAGGTGCCTTTCCAGGGACGAGGAGAAGGAAACAAAATGGCTGTTCATATATGTGCAGCGCAACAAACTCACCGCTGGTACCTGGAAGCATTTGGCTCATCTTACCCCAGGTGAGACAATCCTTAATTGCTACCGATCTTGCTGCTACTGCGATTTGCGGGTTTGCGGCATCCTTGAACAGTAGTTAGCAGTGCGTCAGCATGCCACTTCCCTATTTGTTTTCTTGGGGTCCCAGAGCTTTGTTTGCTTGTACCGGTCATTCGAGGCCACCCGCTATGGCGAATTTTGTTTTGTGACCGTTTGCCTTTTGCCCCTGCTTCCCTGTTTCCCACCGCGGTCTTTTCTCTGCCACACCCGATCCCTCTTGTCAGGCTTTCCCAAGAATCACTTGAGTCAATGCTCATGTAAAGGACCGCGAGTGTGTGTGTGCGATTTGTAGGGAGCGCCGCATAATATTTCCTTTTCTTTTCTAGATTCAATGATTTTCTGCGCCATACCGACGTACTTTCCAGCTCGGGAACTGCCTAGGATTCGGGATCTCAGTGCACTGAAGCATTCACTGCGTGTGCTCTTTTTTTTGTGAAGCCGACGCTCAGTCATCAGCAAAAGGCTGGCGCTCCTCTCCCTTTCAACGAGGACATTTCTAGCTAGCAGCAGCAAACAGCAAAAGCATGTTTGGCGGCATCGCCTGAAACCTGTCTTGAGTTTGGCAAGCAAAAGTACAGTGTGCTCAACGGCGAAGAAACCTAGGCCCAATTGGTAGCCATGGTAAAACTCTCTATAAGATATATGTACTTCGAGCACACGGACACGTGAACGCGACTCTTGGGGTCTTCTAGAGACGCTGGTAGCATACTGAGGAGCTGCGTGCTAGTTCCTTTTGTTTAGTGCATCATTGGAACCCGAACCCATTTCTACTCGTGTTCTCCCTTCGTCCCCAAGGTTTTCGTTCGGTTGCACCTTCCATCGGTGACATCCTGACGTTCAGCCAGTGTTCGGCCGAAGCACCGAGCCTGCATCCACGAAGGCAACTTTCTGTATTCCTTGAACAGTACAGCTAATCCACAGTCACATTATGTGAATGCCTAATGTGCAACGGTCTAAGGACTGTACCGCGGCATGGGATCTGTGCTACAGCAGAACCGCGAGCCGTGGAGGAGCGGCACTAGTACACTTCTAGTTTAAGGGGAGGGGGCCTTTGGCAGAAAGAACGGACCAGCTAAAAAGAACGAGTCAGAGGACTTAGGGAAGCGTGCAAGAGGCGTGGTAGGATGGGTTCACACACTAGCGGCTGCCCTGCGACCAGCAGACGCTGCGCGGACTTGAGCAGTAGCGAAGGGCTGCCACTGCCTGCTTGGGCTAAAAATGAAGCTAGCCCTTTAGGCGAGCAAGCCTATGAGTTGCAGAACACAGGTGCACTGGGCGTCACAGGTGGGAAAAGCCCGGTGCGCGCACTTGCGAAAGGGCCTAACACTGTTGAGCCTTCTTCGTGAAGAAAGCAGGTACAGATACTGCATAACAAGGAAATGCCCATCAGTCATGGATGCAGAGGAGCCTACTTAACCAACAGCAAAAATTTGAAACCAGGAGCTGTCAGAAACTAGAAGCAATTACAGGCACTGAACTACCGGGCGAGGCCGAACTGCGGGGAAACGGCCCACAATTCTGGATAGTGTTCTGCGCTGGTGGAGCTATGCTGTGTGATATACCAGCCAGAACTCTGGGGCTTGCTCTATGGAGTCTGTACGACAACGCTTATCTGATGTGAAGGTGTTGGCCAAACCGGTAGAGCCTTTTTCGATGCAGTGGGCACGACGAAACTAGGCCACGGCACAGGGAACAGCAACTCCGTAAAGATCGTGTGGACTTCAGTTTGCGAAGAGAGCTTACACCACCGCGAAACTTTATAAGCCTTGTGTATTTAGAGTGGCCACGACCCAAGAAATGGTGATTCCCTGAGAAACGCGTGTGCACAGTAGCTCTGCGGAGAGAGCCTACCCATTGATTGCGTAGTAACAATACCAATGGTGTGGTGCGGCCGTGAATATTTTCGGCTGCCTTCCTTTGTAGCTCTTAGTCCCCTACTTTTGGGGCTTCACCGGATTACACGACATAAGGTAGGCTGGTATCTTCGATATGATAAGCGGGGAGACTCCTTGGATGGTAAGCTTCCATAGAGAGCACTACCTAAACAATACAAGGAGTTCTCTGCCCGGATGCAGCGCGAAATCACATCCAAAACAGGCCTAGAACCTGCTGGGATCAAGAATCGAGCACTATGACTATGGAGGCTGCGATATTCGTAAGTTTATTCAAAACGAGATGCAACTCGCAGCCGAGTGCATGGTAGAAGCCGCAGATCGGGAAACTTTTTGGAAGGCATCTGCCTTGTGGATCCTGGCTGTGGCGCGCTAGAAGGGCTGCACATCATTCTGGCTGCACTGACTCCTGTCAAATTTCTGAAGTGCGATGGCACGCACAATTTTGTTTGTTCCCAGGCACAGAAACAAACAACCCTGGAAATGCTAGGCTTAGTGGATTCCTAAGGAGCAACTAGTCGAAAGGCGGCGTGGAGCCAACGTGGCCCCATTCCCTGATCCAGTGTACTCTAATGAGTAGCTCAGCAGAGTGGAGGCTCAGAACTTCCCAGCTGGGTTTCTTGAAGCACAGCGTAAACATCGGGCCATCTTATCCACACGAAATACCGCCACACTA